AGCACATGTCATATGCTACCAAAAGGGTATACCCGCTAACCATAAATATATTTCCTGAATTAATGGGAACACGTTTAAGGCACTGCTGAAAAATTGCTTTTTTTGACTTATCCCCTTATGCCTTTTACCCACAGACTTTATACTATGCTCCACACCTCAAAGTCCCACCACGTGACCACGTACGGAACGCAGTCTTTTGAAAATTTGGCATTTAAGGCTTTTCAGGTTATGTATCTGTCAAAGTAAAGTCAACGAAAAAAATAATATTATGTTTAGACGTTAAAAATGTATAAATCTTTATAACATTACAATAAGAATGGATGGTTTAAGAATTTTAGAATATAAATACTGCATTTAATGAAATTCTAAAGTGTATGGTGCCAAATAAGTAATATTTTTGTGCATTTGGTCCAAATATCTGGTTTTCTCCATAAAATAATTTTAACTGAACAGCATTTATTAAAAAAAATCTAGGTTCTCTATTATAGAATAAGAATAGGTATTTGTTTTAAAGGTTATATATTATAACAAAAATATCATCTAATTTTGTAATTTTAAAGTTAAAAAAATTTATTTTGACCAAAATAAATAAGTATTTTGGATTATTTAAAAGACTGTATAATATGGTATTTAATAATGTGGTGGTTTTTCTTATCCAGCTTAAAGTGAACCTACATAAAGTTTTGTCAATACAAATAGTTAAAAAGCTACGACTGAATTTGATCTACATCAAAAAATCATTATAACATAAAAATTTTAATAAACCACATGTCATGGGAGTAATAAATATTTTCACATTGCAAGTTTCTCTAAAAATTGTTTGTTTTCTTATAATCTAACTTAAAGTAGGTATGCTGAGAGGTATGCACAAGTTTTGTCATAAGAAGAATAAAAGCTTCAATTTAATTTGAACCATATTCAACAATTATTTAGTATACCTATATTTATTTATGACCATATTAACACACTCTTCCAAATAATCCACTCATTTATTTTGATCAAAATAGATTTTTCTAACCTTAAAATACAAAATTAGATTATATTTTTTGTTCTAATACATTAACCTACCTTTGATACAGATATTCTTATTTCATAATAGAGAAGTTAGATTTTTTTTAATAAATGCTGTTTAGTTAAAACTATTTTATGGAGAAATGTAGACCCAATGCACAAAAATATTACTTATATTGCACCTTACACTTTGGAATTTCATTAAATGCAGTTTTTATATTCCTAAATTCTTAAACCAACCATTGTTATTGTGATACTAAAAAGATTTATTAACTTTTAACGCTTAAACATAAGCGGTAACACTATAAATACTATTTTTTTCATTGACTATACTTTGACAGATACATAACCTGAAAAGCCTTAAATGCCAAATTTTCAAAAGACTGCGTTCCGTACGTGGTCACGTGGTGGGACTTTGAGGTGTGGAGCATAGTACATGCGTACCTACGTTAATAAAGCTCTTATCCCACTTATATCGTAAATAACTATAAAACCTCACCTAATTAGTCAAGTTAAAATAGTATTGTGGCTGTCATTGGCTGTCTACGGTTTTGCAATGTCATTGGGGCTAGTTTTCCGCGACTGTCAAAAAGTAGTCTGTCATGTACAATAACTTAAACATAACCACAATTAAATTATAATTACATTTATAACTATAGTTTAGTTTGTTTTAATCAATGCAACCAATTTTGGTTCCGTATTTACCAACCAAAACCCTAAATTTGCAACGTTGCCGCAGCCCAGATAAAAAAAAAGATTGGAAATAATTATTATAAAAAATGTAGTGTTTTGGTTTAAGATAGTGAATATTATTTCTTCACCGCTCCAAGTAGGTAACTATAGTATATTACGTAGGTATCAAGTTTGATAAACGCCACTTTCACGAATTTAAATTAGAAGGTCAGTAACTATACCATATAAACTTTTCAATTTTAAACAGTGGCGTAATTTTTACACTTAATATTATTTCACAAGAAAGGCACCACAACCCACACAAAAGTAACCATCCCAATAAACATTTTTGACGTTATTTTTACCATTGCCCGTATTTATTTTCATGAAACTGAACAATTATTGATACTTAAATATATTAAAAAAAAAACTTCAAAATAGAATAATGTTAAGAACATATTTTATTCTTTGATTTTTTTTATTACCATAATTGCAAAATATTATTACAAATTCTTACACTGGAACTTTTAAAGGTACAAAAAGTGACAGTTGTATTTATATTGGAATTCCCGTTAGAATTTCTAACTTGGGAATCTAGTAGATTCAATCTACCAGCGTTAAAATCTCAAATTTGTCTTTGTAAATCAAAATTTATCCCTTGAAAATAGACTAACAATCAATATAGAAGCAGTTTTTCACAGTAAAAGAGAAGAGAATGTTTTATGGGCACTGTACGCAAGATTTTTAACGCTTTATCAGTACAATTTAGTTAACTGCACTACTACGGCGAAATCAAAAGGTCAGTACAAACGTTCATATGATCTTTTCAAATATTGGCGTCAAGAAACTATTTAATACTTTTGTATTGAGATGATAAAATAATTTTTACATTTAGTATTATTTTACCAGAAAGGCACTTTATTTTAACGATTGACAACTGTAAACTAACTTAAAACTAACTTCAGCCCGTGACTAAAATCATGTTGCTAACTTCAGACCCTTACTAAAACGCCATAAAGCCAAAACTTGTCAATTAATGTGTATTTAAAAGGTCACTTAGTGTCATGGACGATAAAGGGCGTTATAAAGGTGGGAGTAGAAAAAATAAATTACACTATTATATTTTAAACAATAATTTATGCTAAATGTATATAATTTTCCTATTAAATTTCTATAGCTAGCTATTTTTTAAGCGGCACAAATAATAAAATCTACCAGCAGCTATAATTATTGTAAATGATTTATGATTAGTTTGACTTGAAGCGAATTGTAGTGGAATATGAAGAGTTCAAAGAAAACATTGTTTACATTATATTTTGGAAGCTTTGTTTCAAGCAGTTTTATCATCCCACCAACCTTGAAAAATTTAAAAGTGTTAACACAGAATTCTAGTCACCCCGTTCTACAATAGCATGTCACAGTTAAATTAATCCCGACGGATTTATATTTTGTCTCAACAATTTATCTAAACCTCTCTTGTATTGCACGTTGTTCTTGGAATTGCCGGTTAATTGGTATTCAATCAATGAAACTAAAACGTGGGAGAATTTGTGGACATAGAAGTCACATTGTTTGATTCTGTACAGTACCCAAACGCCATCAAGAGTCCTCTTTAAAACCCAAGTCCTCTGAGCAAGATCAAGAAGACTGAGTCATCGTTCTCAAGATATACACGTTGTCTGTACTTTTTGTATAAATGAATCTTGAATTTTATTGAAATATTTTTTTACTAGATTATTCATTGTAGGTAATTAAGTAATTAACTATCGTACAATTTTAGAAATGGTAAAATAAGGAACTTAAATGCTGCGGTTAAAAATAATGATTTAATTAAAAAAAATATCTGGGCTTATTTATGATAAATAAGTACCTATACTTAAGTATACTCCTACAGTTATAAATATTTAATAATGTAAATGAATTTTATGATTAAATTTAAATTGAATTGTATCTATTAGTAAAATTATTATATTGCCTACTACCTGCCTAGTAGATATAACTGTTAATAACGTTCGTACGTGGCAGATCAGACATGAGATGAAAAAAATTTGCATGAAATTAGTTTGGGTCAACGTTTTGCAATTTTAAGTTATTTTTTCTACCGACACCTTTAAAACGCCCATCGTAGATGTTTTATGACACTAAGTGACGATTTAAATACACATTGACAAGTTGTGGCTTTATGGGGCTTTAGTCAAGGGCTGAAGTTAGCAACAGGTTTTTAGTCACGGGCTGAAGTTAGTTTTAACTTAGTTGACAGTTGTCAAATGTTATGCAATCGTTAAAATAAAGTGCGTTTTTTGTTTATTATCTCAATACAAAAACACAAAAGTATTAAATTGTTTCTTGACGCCAATATTTGAAAAGATTATATGAACGTTAGTACTGACCTTTTGATTTCGCAGTAGTAGTGCAGTTAACTAGATTTAACTGACAATGCGTTAAAAAGTTTGCGTACAATGCCTATAAAACATTCTCTTTCCTTTTACTGTAAAAAAACTGCTTCTATATCGATTGTTAGTCTATTTCAAGGGATACATTTTGATTTACACAGAAAAATTTGAGATTTTAACGCAGGTAGATTCCCAAGTTAGAAATTCTAACGGGAATTCCAATAAATACAACTTTTGTACCTTTAACATTTCCGGTGTAAGAGTTTTTAACACTTTGCAATTATAGTAGTAAAAAAATCAAAGGATAAAATATTTTCTTGACATAATCATATTTTGAAGTTATTTTAGTATTTTTAAGTATAAATAATTGTTAAGTATAATTAAAATAATAACGGTGAATGTCAATGGTGAAAATTACGTCAAAAATGTTTATTGGGATGGTTACTTTATTTTCGTATGGATGTCGTTTTATACAAATATTTAATTTAAATAATTTTTTTGACAATATTAAGTATTTGTCGTAGAAAAAGTATAGTATACAACTCGTTTATAAACTTTTCTATAGGCACTCATTTAATTAAGCATTCGCTCACAAGCTCGCTAGTGCCAAATTAAATTTGTGACTAAAATGGCGTTTATTAAACTTGATACATAATATGCTATTTTTTACTGCCACTTTTAAAACGCTTCTTGTGAAATTTTGTTATTTTTCACAGCAATCTCAAACAAATAGTATCAATACAAATAATTTCAAAGAATTGGCGTGCGCTAACAAAAAATTACAAACAATACGGGGAATTTTATTGGTTTCAAAACACAACGAATTCGTAGGTACCGTCCGATATGCCAGGAATTTTTTTAGGCGGGCAACTTTACAAGAACCCTCCCTGTGTTGTTGTCTTCTGCGTGCGTGTGTGTGTGTCCATCGAGCCCGACTCGTTTATCGCAGAAAGCCGCGGAACATTCTGCACTCGACTGTCGCGCGAACAAGACGTCGACGAAGAGAAGGCCTTGCAAACGAAACGTACGAGATTTACGAGGTCTCCTAGTTTTACGTGTAGTGAAGTGGATTTTTTATTTATTATTGGATTTTCCTGCTGTGTGGTGGATTTGGATTGTTCGACTGGTTTTCCAAACCTTTAAAATGATCAGGTTAGTGTTGATTTTTGGAAACACTAAAAAAATATGTATTTAGTTTTAAAAAGACAATTGTTTATTTTCCTCCCCCCTTTGAGGTTGCTTTTTATTACATACCTACGGGGTGTCAATCCCGGGATCCCGAACTCCCGGGGTCCCAGGAACCCGTAAAAAATCCGATACCGAAAATCAAAAGTCCCAATCCCGGGATTTTAATAATAAGTTACAAAGAATAATATATACTTTTTTTCAAGCGTATATAATAATTTTTATATTATATTTATATATATTTATATTTATATTATAAGCATATATGGAAATACTACATTTTCGTATTCAGTTCAAAAGTAAATCTACGTATTTACATAAAGACTAGAAGATTTGTGAGTATGATAAGAGCTTCATAATACCTACAAAAGGTTTAAAATACCTAGTGACTTTAAAAATATTAGGTACATTCGAATTTACATAAATAGGCTGTGGACACGATACTTACAGATTGCTTATTAAGTTAAAACAAAATAATTATTCAAATTCAAATACCTATTTAACGAGTGTGCGAAGTGCGAAGAATCCGAAAAAAGATGCCATCACTGGTTTTCAAACTGAAATTAAGGGATACAGTGAAGTGGGTTAAAGTTACGAAATACATTAGTAAGTGTTGTAGTAGTACTGATAATTATATTGCACCAAATTTCTTAATAATTTGATGATTTCATAATGGTGTGTTATTTAATTGTGTGTATGTTATTTTTGTGTTCATTTATGTAAGCATTATGTTCATTTAAGTTCCCAATTTCCAACATCAAAATCTGGTTAATATTGGGTTAACAAATAATTTTTACCATGTAACGATTTTTGGCTTTGACATGTTTTCAGTTTTTTAGCACACCTAGGTAGGTATCTTCTTTAATAGGTACTGCTTTCGATTGCATTCAAGCTCTATTTATTTTTTGAATGAAAATGCTTAAAACTCGAAATAATATCTAACAATCAAGTCTAGATAATAATAGTTGGTAAATATACTATATAAAGTAATTGTTTGAAAAGATATTAGATAGTTTTATCCGGATGTGTTTTCTAACCACTAGATAACCACTGGAAGAGCTTTAAATGCTTGCCTATTCTTGTTCTTGAATTACCCAGTTCACATAGTTTAACTGGACCGTAAATAAAACCAAGCTTGGAAATAATCGACTATTTTTAGAATGATTTTTGAATGCAGTAAAACCAAGAAAACTAAATAAAGGTGTACTCCTCCTGTGTTTGGTCTTCTTGAGTTAAACTCCCGTTCTCTATAATTTGGTTAGGATTTAGCATCTTAAGGGCCGGTTTTTCAATCAGGGTTTAAACCTTGGTTCAGGGGAACTTAGATCAGTTAATGAACTCAGTTCACAGTCAAATGAGTTTTTCAATGTCAACTCAACTTAGATCAGCGGTGTCAACGTTAAGTTGGTACAACCGAATTTAGTACACGCCTACATTAATAGTAGTTAAAACCAGTGCTGCCAGATGAACGGATTTATCCGTTTTTTACGGATTTTCCATGTCTAGAGAAATTGGAAACGGATTTTGAACGGATTTTCATCAAATACGGATTTTTACGGATTTTTAAGATAGCTTCATACTAATACTAAAAAAACATCATTTTTGCCCCGTTTTTTGATCATCTTTGTCACGCTTCTATTCCTCTTCCTTTTTACTACGTTAGACAGAAAAAGAAAGCGGATTGAAAATGGATGTGTTCTTAATATAGGGTTCTTAAACGCCGAATATATGCGAAACATATGCTTTTTCATTGAGTGTGACAAAGAGAACGATAGTTTCATATCATTTGTTAAGGTTTTATAACACGTTGTTATTGCTGCCAATATATAAGCGGCGCAATGCCACCACTAGTAACGACTAACCAATACTGACTCCAGTTCAGTGCATTGAACTGCATTGTGGCAATATTTTGATCTCAAAGTCAATGTTTATTATATATCCGAATCTGTATATAAAATACTTTATTTTGTGAAAAATGGAAAGTGACGAGAATTATATCACTGACGAATTCGAGTTTCAGAAGTTTGAACCTCTTAAGAGGTTCAAACTTCTGAAACTCCCCCAAAAAATTCTGAGATGTTTCGGATTTTCTTTGACGAAAGGTATGTTTTGTCACGAAAATCCCCCTTATAGAAGAAATTTTTCGAAATTTAGACAAAAACGGATTTTTACGGATTTTTCGAGGCTTCCCCCCACCCTTTCCACGAATATATACGGATTATCCGACCGTCTGCTCTGGCAGCACTGGTTAAAACTGTCATTTTGACAAAAGGATTTTGTGTTAATTTTGGAGTTTTGTTTATCTGTGCTGTTTTAAAAGTTCTAATCTGTGCGAAAGGGTGCTTTAAAACAATTTACTATTTTTAAAGAACAATAATAAATTTACCTTTTAAGGAGGAATTATTTGTATGTATTTCGTTTTATAGTATAAAATGAGTTTGTCGTTTTTTGTTACATGTGATGAATTTTACTAAAATCTATTACCTATTCAGTAATTATTTTTATAACTAAACTATTGGTAGGATTTCCAATTACTAGTCTAATTAAATCCACTATCCTACGTACAAAAAGTTTGGAAAACCGAAATCTGGCTAAAAATTCATCATTATTCCATCTTTCAAAATAATTCGGCCTGTGCACACGAAGTTGAATATTATTTAGGAATTCGCCAATTTCCTCATCATCCCCACTAACTACCTCAAACATATCCATTGGTTTATTATAACAGCAGATCACAAAACAAGTAATAAACAACGTAATTCACAATAAAGCAGAGAAAAATTAAGTTATGTCAAGTTGAACTTCGTTTAAACGGCCAACAGTGACAGTTCATCTTTTGATTTAGTTTAAACCAAATTCAAGCTTGAACTTTGATTGAAAAACGGCATATTTTGTTTGAACCAAGTTCAAATGCTGAACCAAGTTTAAACTATGATTGAAAAACCGGCCCTAAGCAGCCGATTTTCCAACTGATTTTATAATTATTTTTTATTTTTATACAAAAGGCACTATATACCTATATACTATATATATACCTATATACTATAATATTATATATATATTATATATATTATACACAGGAACGTGAATAAAAAAACGTAGCTTTTCGGTTTTGATAGTGGCAGTTACAGTTCTCTATGCTGTGTTATTTAAATTCTTAAAATGAGTTATGCAAATTTGTTTCTATGCACTTTGTTAAACGGTACCTTAAAATTAGGGTGAAGAAACTCGTTATAGTATAAACAACCAATAAATTAAAATTATTTAACGCCTATATATTTTTACAGCATATTAATGATTCTTTGGAATTTTCCGCAACTTATATGCATGCCAGGATTATGTAAAAGGCTGCATATTTCCATAATTTATTGAAATCGCATGTTAACATATTTTAATTTTATAATTTAATTAAAAGTTGCAATTTAAATCTAATAAAAATTCAATGAAATTAAATAAATGTAAGCAGAGTTCTGAGTACACCGGCATCTCGCAGGTTATTTTAAGATTTTTATGGGTCTTATGAACGTAAAAAGAGGAATTTTAAGTTGGAACTGAATATAAGGAAGAAATAAATTAACGCGTTATAGGACATAATGTAATGTCTAAAAGTTGAACCTGTAGATGTATGTACAAACTCGATTAAACTTTGAAGGAGTTGGGATCATAGGTCCTTTCTTTTGCAAAACTCTCTTATTCTCACATTAGCAAAAATGTTTCCCAATGAGAATGGAGGTCCCGATCTACCAAGTGATACCATTTGGTTTCAACAGACCACACAATTTAGAAGACTTGAAAAATCAAATTCGTGTAGAATTTTCGGACAGGCACGGGGAGCAATTCGAACATTTAATTGGTTAATGAATCCATTAAAAGCATTTTCAAAATAACTTTCATGAAGATTAAAAATATTTTTTTGGTAATTATTTTTTTTAAATCGAGAACTTCTTTTCCCAAACAATTAAAATAAATTTAAATAATTTCCAGCAAAATAAAAACAAGGGAAGTTACTTAACACAATAATATATACATATAGTAAATTCAGAAGGAAACGACGTACACGTCATCAATCAGCTGATCGGGCACGGTTGTCAATGTGATGCTAAAATCATTGCATCAAGTGAAAGTGGTAGTGCAACTATAGGGCGATAGATGTCGTTTACATGAATAATACCAAAATGTCAAAAGTCAGAGTTTTTATAACCTATATGGTGCACCGCCAAAAGTATGTTTCAGCCATTTTTAAAGACATTTTCAGCTATAAAACCCAGAAATTTTGTCATCTAGAGTCAGTCTCTGGTATTTATATTCTTATTCTATGTATCCAACATTATGTTGGCAACATATATTCTGTTAAATATTCTAATATATAATTAATAATAATCCTATTTACCTCACTGTTACCACAGCTGTTAAAGGTAACAAAGGTCCATTATTATCCTGTTCTGCCTCAAAATAGCGTACTAAGGATGATACCAACTCTTGACTCCGACTATTTAAATGCTCCGGCATTTTAAATATAGGAAAAACGATATATAACAAAAACAAAAACGGTAATAAAAACGAAATTATACACAAATTAAACGAAATATTCAAAAACACAACTGACAGCTTCGAAATTCTAAAACGTCAATTTCTTTTTCTATGCGTCATTTTATTAATCAAAATTTTAATCTAAACATGACAACATTGCAATTCCTGCCAACTTAATTTGGTTAAAATGTATTAAAATATTCAATTACAGACTTCGTTTTATACATTTAGTATTGGTACCAGTGCGCAAAAATATGACGTCATCGATGACGTGTACGTCGTTTGCTTTTAAATTTACTATAGGTACATTATTTACCTGAAAAACAAACAAAAACTAAAATGTTCCTTAAAAGGTTCATCAAATATTTAACAAGGTTTCTAGGTAGTTTAAATATACCTACATATTTTCATTTCATGTTAAAAGTAAATTTGCTTAA